TGCACAGAAGTCTGTTGGAGTCAGTCTCCCCACCATCACAGACATCTACACCTCCAGATGCAGGAAGAGGGCCACCTGCATCATGAAGGACCCCACTCACCCAGCACACACACTTTTTGCCCCGCTCCCCTCAAGCAGAAGGTTGGGGAGCATTAAGTGTAGAACAACTAAACTGAGGAACAGCTTCTACCCTGAAGCCTCAAGACCAGGGGTGTCAAACATTTACAAAAGGGGGCCAAAATTAAAACATTTTTCAAACTAAGGGCCAGTTTCAGAATCTATATTAACTCAAAACCCAACAACTTTTCTTGGTCGCAGCTTCCTCAGAAAGAGTTTGATTGGTCTCATTTGACATTTTCGGTTGCACTTTTGACATCATAATCTCAGATTACTGAAAAAAATCAAGTGGAAAAAAGTATTTTACGTTTCACATATCATCTTGGGGGCCAGATAAGATGTCAACGAGGGCAACATTTGGCCCCTGGGCCTTGAGTTGGACATATGTGCCCTAGACTCATGAATCCCTAATCAGAATTATCACTGTCAAAAAAAAAATCACTGTAATGCCACTTTGATTGTTGATATGTGCTGCTGATTATGCATGCTGCTGATATCAAGCTGCTGATTTATTTCATGCTGCTGTGTTCATTCGTCCTCATCTGCTCACACAGACTCATGGTCGTGCTGCTGTTGTTCGGCGTATTGTTTTTGTACTACTAGTGCTTATCGTATTCTTAATTTAACGTATTTCTTAGTTCATGTCTTAGATCTTATCAATGTTTTTCTTTACAATTTAGACTTTTGTTGGCTGTAACTGGGACCCTGTGTACACAATTTCGTTCCACCTCATGTAACACATGTGATGTGTATGACAAATAAAGAACCTTCACCTTGACCTAAAAGAAGTATAAAATTAAATTCAATGCAAAATAACTAAAACCATTGATTAACACATTAACAAAATCACAAAATGTTTAATTTTAATGTATAAAATTCTATGGAATATTCGTATGGAACCTGGTTTCTGAATCATATTTGAACTTTGCTGTTTGAACTTATAATGCTAACTTATAGGCTAACCTTCTGTAAACTAGCTCAATTTTTTTTTGTTTCTTCTCGTTAGACTTTTAAAAGCTGAGCTGCTGTGTTGTCCTTTGAGGTTGCAAAACATTTTGTCCAGCTGAAGACACCCCTCTCTCACACACACACACAAACACACACACACCCATAGCCAAATGAAACACTTCACTGAACAAACAGCTCCAAGGCCAAACTATTCTTGTCAATGTTGCAGAACATCGGTGTGATTTACAGTACTTCTATCTCATAAAGCTGAAACGTTACTCAGGTTTATTATTCAAAATGTTCACAGTCAAAGCAGATTTTGTCAACTTGTAAATGTGACAAAACTTCTCCCAGACAACAGAAAATCCACGCGAACAACACGATGAAAGGCGTCAACAACTCCCGTCAGTAAACGACGGAGCCGAAGAAAACCTGCAGGACGAAAATAAACGTTAAGTTAAAGAGATCCCTCTGTAAACACGCACCAGATGTTGGCCAACCAGTACTGAAGCGTGGGCGGTGTCACGCGTGTGATTGACAGGAGCTCGGGGGACGAACGCCACAGTCTGAACACATCCATTTTGTGGAGTAATGAAGTGTGAAAATACAGTTAGAGCAAACAGTTTGTCTCAATGTGTTGGGTAAAATGCAAATTATTTTAACTGTAAAAACTAAACCTGTTGTATCTTGTCATTGTCTTTAATGGTATTTTTTTGTAGCTGTTTTATGTGTCCAAGAGACCAAGTGGAAGGGCAACAACTTCTTTCAGCATTGGAGCAGGGTTCAAACTGTTTTACCATGGTGTGGATAGAAAGAGAAATGGAGTAGGGGTGGTCCTGAAGGAGGAGTTGGCAAAGAATGTAGTAGAGGCGAAAAGAGTGTCAGATAGGGTGATGTGTCTGAAGGTAGAAGTATAGAAGGTCTGATGCTAAATGTTGTCAGTGGTTATGCTCCACAGGTTGGATGTGATGAGGAGGAGAAAGATACATTTTGGAAGGATCTGGATGAAGTGATAGAGAATATTCCCAGGGAGGAGAGAGTGGTGATGGGAGCAGACCTGAATGGACATGTTGGTGAAGGAAACGGAGAGGATGAGAAAGTGATGGGTAGGTTTGGTGTCAAGGAAAGAAACCAGGAAGGATGGTTGGTGGTGGATTTTGCCAAGAGAATGGAAATGGTTGTAGTCAACACTTGTTTCCAAAAGAGGGAGGAACGTAGAGTGACCTAGAAGTGTGGAGGAAGGAGCAGGTCGACTACATTCTGTGTAGAAGAGGAAACCTGAGGGAGATTGGGGACTGTAAGGTTGTGGCAGGGGAGAGCGTGGCCAGATAGCATCAGATGGTTGTTTGTAGAATGACTGTTGTTGTGAAGAAGAGAAAAAGAGTCAAATCAAAGACCAAATGGTGGAAGATGAAGAAGGAAGAATGTTGTGTGGAGTTCAGAGAGGAGCTGTTAAAGGCTCTGGGTGGTAAGAAAGAGCTTTTAGATGACAGGGCTACTACAGCAACAGTAATTAGAGACAGGTAAGGTAGTTGGTGTGTCATCTGGACAGAGAATTGAGAGAATAGATGACAAGGAAACCTTTTTATTACTTGTTGTGGCAACCCCTGATAAGGGAAAAGGCAGTAGAAGAATAAGAATTACCATATTTTACGCCGTATAAGTTGCACATTTTTTCATAATTTCCATGCCCTGCGACTTATAGACTGAAGTAACATATTTATGGATTTTTTCCCATATTTATAAACCAATTTTTGGCTGAGATATGACCGTTCTCATTCATTCTGACTGGGAAAAAAATTAACAGTACCACTTTCAGCCACTATGGCAACAGAATAGTAGTAGTAGTAAGGGATGCCATTGTATCATGTAATAGGTAATCGTGGTTATAATGACAATTTCAAAAAAGTTCAAGACAAAAACATCCATCCATTCATTATCTTTAACCGCTTCTTCCATTTTGGGTCACGGGGGTCGCCGGTGCCCATGTCCAGCAATCACTGTGCGAGAGGCGGGGTACACCCTGGACGGGTCGCAAGTCCATTACAGAGACACATAGAGACAAACGAGACAAACAATCATTACCAATTAGCCTAACATGCATGTTTTTGGTCTGCGGGAGGAAATCGGATGTACCTGGAGAAAACCCACGCATGCACGGAGAGAACATGCAAACTCCACCCAGAAAGGCCCCTGGACCGGGGTTTGAACCAAGGACCTGCTCACTGAGAGGCAGCAGCTCGACCAGTTGCGCCACCGGGCTGCCCAAGACAAAAATAACTGGACTTTATTTATTATACTTCACTTTATACTTAATTGTTTTTTTTTCTTGAACTTTTTTTAATTTACCATGTCCTGGAAGACTGAGAATCTTCACCAGCTATTAATAATACAATCGGCTTGCCATAGTCTCCCCACCTTCGTTCTGCTCACTACTTGGAGCAACCGTAAAACCAGCTGCACCGCCCTGGCAAAATGTAGCTAATTTGACCATTAAAGTGCATTTATTAAGGAAAAGTTAGAATGAGACACACCTTTGCTATAATTTCAAGCAAACAAATAATTGTTTTTAGGCGTTTATCTTAATAAATTTGCACAGCGACTCGTCTCGTGCACATATTTACTTCCGCGTATCGGCTTTTGAAATACAGCTGATTTGACCATCGAAGGGCATTTATTAAGCAAAAGTTAGACTGAGATACACATTTACTATAATGTAAATAGTATTTTATTTTTTTGTTATTTTGCTATTTTTTGCTACATTGTTTTTATCCTTTTGCTGTTTTTCCTTGTAGCCAGCCTTTCACTAATATTAACTAAACTTTTGATTATTTCAGCATTTAACAAGCCTTTTGCTGCAGTTTAGCTTCTAGCTACCATTTTCCTACTTTTAGCCATTGCTACTGTAAGCTTTAGGCTAGTCTTTTGTTACTTTTAACTTTTGTAACTTTTACCTACTTTTTCTTCCTTTGCCTAACATTTTTCTCATTTTAGCTAGTGCTTTACCATTTCTGTTATTTAGTTAGCGTTAGCATTTTTAAGCTTTTAGCTAGTGTTCTGCTTCTTATAGCTTTAACAGCTCTGCTCCAGCTTCTTCAGCATGTTTTTCATCTCATTAGTTGTTCAGCACTCAGAATTCACCCAGCATTTTTACAGAAAATATATATTTGTTGTTTTACATGTGAATAAATGATAAATATCACAACATGCATCTGTAAACAAATTCTAAGTGTTTTCTTTAAAATGTGTCTTTTTTTTTTCCATTTACCCTTTATTTATACAGGTAGTCTCATTGAGCCACGAGAACTCATTTTCAAGAGAGACCTGTTTAGGGAGCAGATGGGGGGTTAAGGGCCTTGCTCATGGGCCCAGGGTGGGGCGAATGAGGATGGGGGGCAAGTGTGGGAACTTCACCTACCCCACCCACAATTTTGATGTTGTCGGGGCCTGAACCGGCGATCTTCGTATCACAGGCCCACCTCTCTGACCTCTGCGCCACCACTCCCCCTTTAAATTTCCAGAACAAAATAACAGAAAAATGTCAAACCTGTAACTAAAATATCTCTATCATATCTACCCTGAACCATATTTGGTAAAAGTTTTCTCCAAAATGTTATTGGTCAATTTTTACAGATTTTACAGATTAATTCTGTTGAAACATAGGTGGAAATGAAAGCATAAAATCTGTAAAATATCACATTTATCAAACATCTTAAAGTGTCGTACAGTAGCTGACATTATGGCACATAAAATCCGATTTTAAAAAATGACAGTAAATGTGAATGTGCGCAAATGTCCTCATAAAATGCGAAAGATTAAAAACAGAACGGGAAGACAGCGAAGTCACGTGTTTCTCGCACAGCTCTCTGATTGGACACAGGTTAAGTAGGCGTGGCTTATTATTGTGTGTGTTTTACAAAACCAGCCTCCACGCAGTTTACCCTCTCATTCAGCACGGATTTAGTTGAGTTCTCGTTCTCTCTAGCCTTTTGTTTGTTTATTTCTCAAACCAAATCGTTCCTTTTTTTTATTTTTTTATTTGCAACTCTCCAGCTGAGCGTGCAACCTTCAGGTGCGCGGACGAGGAGCACTTTTGGAAAACTTTTTTTTTTTTTTTTTTTTTTTGGGTGCACCTCCAACCTGAGTTGAGCTTCCTGCCTTTGCACGCCTCCACGTCTCTCTGTCCATCATGGATTTAGTTTGGATCGTGGGCTTCGTTGTGAGCGTGTGCGCCCGGTTCGCTTCAGCGGAGCGACACAGCGTCTACTGGAACAGCACGAACCCAAAGTAAATATCTGTTCTTGTTGACATCCTAATCATGCAAAACACTGATTTATTACAGTTGTTTTATTGCATGAAGAGTTAACAACTTTACTCACTCCAACAAAGTTATTTAGGTTAATTAAAACTTTAAAAGCTGCAGCTGTCATGATGATGCACGCGCCTTTCCCCCCCCCCTCTCTGGGCCTATTATTGCAGGACTGTTTACCTATAATTCATTGGCTCAACCTAATCAGATTTAATCCGTTTTGAAGGCTGTGCATCTGCTGCAGAATGAGTTGCATCCGGTTTAGACGTGTACTTATTTCTGTGCAATTAAGCAGCGCGTGCTTTAAAGGGGAGCTTCAGTTGTTGGGGGGTTTTGTTTAAGAACACAGAATTTTCTGATGCGCTTCTGTTGCAAATTACTGCCGCAAAAACTCCAAATGGGCGAGTCCGTGCGTGTCTTCGCATCTGTTAGCAAAATATCTCTCAAACCACTGAACGATTGTTAATGAAAGTTGCAGAAAGTAATCAGTGAATGTGCTTTTACAACTGATTAACGTTTGGAAGCAACACGATTCAAGATGGTTACTACAGCAAACTGATTTTGTAAAACATAAAATCGACTATAACTCGCCTAATTTTACAGATATTGACCTAAAGTTTGGTGTGGTAGTAGCTGAGAGTGCTCCCCAACACACATTCTAGCTCTGTCAGGATACACAAGATATTTATGTATAATGTGGCCAACAATCTTTTACATCTCATGAATCACTACATAAATTATGCAGAAACTTTCAGGAAATAATTATTAAATGTACAGCTGATTTAACTTTTAGAGTCAATCTTATTCAAAATGGTTGTCATAACTGACAAAAAACACAGAAATGGCTATAATTCAGTCAGTTTTGTAGGTATGGTGCATACATTCTGTGTGGTTCATCTTTCAAGTGCTAATGCATAAGTTTTTTTTTTTTTTTTTTATGTAAAGCCGCTTTATTTATATAGTATGTTTCAGCAACAAGGCAAATTTAAAGAGCTTCACACAAACTGTTAACATTTTGACAAAAGAACAGTAAAAGCTTAGAGAAAAACAAGAATGTAAAATTACAAACGCTCAAAAGAAAGAACATTTCATTAAAAATAAAACATAAAAGCAAGAAGATTAAGAGCTGAAAGGCATAAAAATACGTTTTCTTTTTGTTAATCAAAAGCAGCAGTGCATAGTCTTGTTTTAAAGGAACCCACAGTTGGAGCTCTCTGGCAATTTTCGGGGAGTTTGTTCCAAAAATTTGACTCATGGAAGCTGAATGCAGCTTCTGCATGATTGCTTCTGACTCTGACAAAAAGCAGATTTGATCCGGATGACCTCAGAGGTCTTGATGGTCCATGATGCAGCAGCTCAAAGATTTTGGACCTAGACCATTTAGTGCTTTGTAAACCAGCAACAAGATTTAAAAGTCAGTGCTCTGAGCAACAGGAAACCAGTGCAAAGACCTCAGAACTGGACGGATATGGTCTTTGTCAGGACTTGGGCAGCAGCATTCTGGATCATCTGATGGATTTTTTTTTTTTTAGAAAGACCAGTAAATACTCCATTACATTAATCCAGTCGACTGAAAATAAATGCACGGTTGAGTATTTCTCAGTCCGGCTGAGTCATCAGTTCCTTTAGTTCTGGCTGTATTCTTCAAGTGGTAGAACCTAACTACTGGAGTTAACTGGATTCTGTTTAAACTCTTATAGTAAATGCACATCTGTAACTGGTTGACTTATTATTAATGGAGTAAAGTCAATTCAAGGTGGTCGCTCCTGCTGATCTGCATTAACAAACACAAAGATGGTTGTACCTCCGACAGTTTTAAAGATATCGAGCTAAAGTTTGACGCGGTAGTAGCTGAGAGTCGTTTGCAACACTCTGAATGTGGCATCTCGCGATATCGTGGTGGGATTGAGCGTAACCTCATTTTCAAGGTTTGACAGAAACGGCGACTGGCGTTACATGCATTCCTTCGACGATCGCTAGCCCTTCCATTCACTCATTAGTTTGTATCCTGTCAGGATGGAGAGCCTTTAAATTTTTCCATGTGTCTTTTTTTATTGTTTTATACAGACTTGACTCAGAGGAACGTGTTGAAATATCCGTTGCAACATTCTCCCCATCTGACACAGAGCCCTAACCTCCTCTGTGTGGCGTGGGAGGCTGCTGCATCTCCTAAATCAGGAGACGTCACATGGGGGTTCTGTAGCTCACAGGGAGACGTACGGGCGTTCATATTTCAGGTGCCAAGACGGGTAATAACGGTGCACGACAGAGACAGAGGAGGTAACATGACGCCTGCCCAGTAGGTCACACTACGTGGGAGAGAGATGGATAGCTCTGGGACGAGAAACCGGAGCTGAAATTGTCAGGGTTAGGGGCCATCCGGAATAAGTGGGGGGTCAATTAGAATTATGGGTTGATGATGTCTGGGGTATACGAAAGGAGGTCATGTTTGCACGCCACAAGCATAGGTTCTGCAAGCACCCGCGCACGCAAACACACCCACATGGACGGGCAAGTGCTAACAGAGGCTCCTGGCAGACAGTCACTCGATCGCACCAACCCAAGCCGTCTGAATCAATCGCACTCTCTCTGCAAACACCAAATGTTCTCCCACAAACGCGCAACTTTCTCCTTCCCTCCCAACGGGGGCTAACGCTGCATCATTTAATGTTCTCAGAAAGTCCATAATTACAGCGGCAAAGCTTTTCTCTGAAAAGTCCGGGTCCCAGATGGAGAGGGGTTTTGTTGTGCTGTGCAACAACCGTGGTCGTGCTTGTGGCTACGCTGGTAATCCCTGTTTATTTGCACTTGCTATTAGAAGACTGCGCTAAACCTCCCTCTTCAGTCTTAATCCTGTATTCACAGGAAATGTAAAGCAAGGAGTTTCCGAAATGTTTCATTCAGAGCGTTTTCATCAATCCCAGCAACCGCCCGTCCCCTTTGACCCATCACCTGATCGTGTGTTGACATCCATCATCTCCCATGTGCCTTTTCCTCCTTTGGGTCCAGGTTTACGGCTCTCCCCCGACTTCCAAAACTAGTCGTTAATCAAAGTGATGGATTGTTCACCCTGGTCCACATGGATCAGGCTCATTTCCTTTTGCCATTTTTATTTTATTTTATTTTTATTTTTTTGCCATAGAAGGTGAAGGCAGAGCAATTAGTCAATTGTGAGACTTCATGGATCCCTGAATGAGTTTTGAGTGTATTTCCACAACATTAATTTTTAGTGTTGATCCTTTTCAAAATGGCCGCCACAGCTAGTTAATGTTACCAAATATTAAAATGGCTATAACTCTTTTTTTTTTAATGTTAGACTGCTTAAATGTGGTGTGGCAGCAGATGAGAGTGATCCTCACATGCTCAAAGCACTACACATTCCACAGCGACTATTAATTGTGCAACCAACAGTCTGTTAGCAAAATATCTCATGAACCATGTGAATAAATCCTATAAAGTAACTGTTGGGTGTAAATTACATTTTGGAGTCGACTCAAATCAAGATGGCTGACGCACCTTTGCCAACACTGTTAATTACAAATATTTATAGTTTATGTGGTAGTTGCTGAGAGTAGTCTTTATTACAAACTCTGAGCTTCAACGCAGCTCGCAGGTTGCAGCTGTGGTGGCCATCTTGAATTAAAACTCTAGAAAGGCAGTGGGCGATATGCATTCCTTTAATGTGTGGCCGACAGTTTCCGTGTTTGTGTGTGATCACGCCTTGTGCGTCGCTACTTCCAAGGTCGAGTCCGTTTGAACTTGAATGGCTACTTTGCTTCAGCGTGTGTGAAATCTGTTCCCGACACTGTTTGTTCTTTAGAGCTTTGCTGACATTTCACCACTCTGGATTTTCATTCTTTGTTTCTGATCAGCAGCTGCTTAATCACCACTGATTTCCCAGAATGAGGTATACCAGTGGCTTGGTTTGGCATGTTCATGTTTTTTTTTTTTTTTTTTTTTTTTAAGGGAGTGTCTCTGTGCTTATTCACACTGTGACTCACACACACTGTCATGCAGATCAACAGTCATGCACACGTGTACCACACGTTCGTCCATTCTGAACCCTAAATCTGAAATGAGCTATAATCGCCTCCTTTTTTCCTTTTCCTGCTGGCGGAGCGTAAGGGAACCACCTCTTTCACCCCTCCTTCTCCTCTTTCTCTGCTTTGTACCTGTCTGCCTCTCTCTCCATCACTCCCTCCCCCTCTTTTTGGCCAGGTTCCCTTCTTCAGCTTGGTTCTGTGACTCCTTTAACTGTTTCGTGTCTTCTAGTCTTCCTGAAGTTTCAGGGCCTTAAGCAGGTTCAGATAATTTGAAGTGGGGTTGTGTGAAGTGGTTGGAGCAAGCAACATCGTACCTGTTGTAGATAGCTCTTTGAACAGCCTTGATTGGAGAAATAGTTTAAATTTGCAGCAAAGACCAAAGAAGATTGCTGCCATCTTGAAGAAAAACCACCAACATTCATAGCAGTTTATGCTAGCTTTGATTTATAAGCATTTAATTTACTTTATTTTCATTAGCTACTGTGAAATGGTGGGAACAGCAAGTTGCAGCGCTTCCTGTGCAGACTGGGACACTTCCTGCAGGAAACTTAAACTTTCTGCCAATATTATGTAGTATCAATCAAACTGACAGGTGTGTAAAATTTTATGAATTGGTGTTTACACGTACTGGTACAATTTTTTTTTATTATTATAGCTGTTTATCCACTTCCTTAGCCCCACTTGGACTAGCCGTTAGCTCATCAGTTTGTTCAGAACTGAACTTTCTCTCCAAAATGGAGCTATTAAAAGTGTTGTCTGAAACAAACGAGCTATTAATTGATTATAACCTTTTCATATAACCCAACAAAGTTCAGTCAAGTCATCTGGACGGTTTCTTTTTTTGCTGACGTTTCGTCCTTCATCCAAAGGACTTCATCAGTCCAGGAGCCACAAGCAAAATCAGTCCCACAAGCAGCCTTACATAGTGGACCAAC